CCTAACCCCTAGAGTAAGCAGAGTTTAATTAAAATTAGAACGCATAAAGATGGAGATGAAGTCGAGTCCTGCTCTCATCTCTAACTCACTGATTAAGCAGAGGGCCTCAGTTTCTCTATAAACCAGATGAGACGATCGTATCTGCTCCAACCGGGATCAAAACCAGGATAAGCTTAGGGTCTGACCAGGCAAAAAGAACAGCAATGGGGCGGAGGAGGGTGAATAGATAGACGCGACTCCCATCGCCTTCCCCGGCGCCACAGGTCTACCACGAACGCGTCAATACGCATGTTGCGGAGGCTGAATTCGACTACGCGCGCTGCGGCGTCCGCGACGTGTCCAAGGCGCTGGTGGGGCTGGAGGGCGCGCCGGCCACGCGGCTGCGCTTCACCAAGTGCTTCAGTTTTGCCAGTGTGGAGGCCGAGAACGCGTACCTGTGCCAGCGCGCGCGCTTCTTCGCCGAGAACGAGGGCCTGGACGACTACATGGAGGCGCGCGAGGGCATGCACCTCAAGAACGTGGACTTCCGTGAGTTCATGGTGGCCTTCCCGGACCCGACCAGGCCTCCGTGGTACGCGTGCTCCTCGGCCTTCTGGGCCGCGGCGCTGCTGACGCTGTCGTGGCCGCTGCGCGTGCTGGCCGAGTATCGCACGGCTTATGCGCACTACCACGTGGAGAAGCTCTTCGGCCTGGAGGGACCAGGCTCTGCCAGCAGTGCGGGCTGCAGCCTGAGCCCCAGCGACGAGCTGCTACCCCCACTCACCCACCGCCTGCCGCGGGTCAACACGGTGGACAGCACAGAGCTCGAGTGGCACATCCGCTCCAACCAGCAGCTGGTGCCCAGCTACTCCGAGGCGGTGCTCATGGACTTGACCGGGCTAGGGTCGCGTGGCGCAGGGGGCGCGGCGGGCGGCTACGCGCCCACGTGCCGCTACGGCGGGGTGGGCGGCCCGGGCGCGGCGGGTGTGGCCCCGTACCGGCGCAGCTGCGAGCACTGCCAGCGCGCTGTCAGCAGCTCGTCCATCTTCTCGCGCAGCGCCCTAAGCATCTGCGCCAGCCCGCGGGCCGGCCCAGGGCCTGGCGGAGGGCCGGGTTGCGGGGGCAGCCGCTTCTCGCTGGGCCGCCTCTATGGCTCGCGGCGTAGCTGCCTGTGGCGCAGCCGGAGCGGGAGCGTCAACGAGGCGAGCTGTCCCACGGAGCAGACGCGGCTCTCGAGCCAGGCTAGCATGGGGGACGACGAGGACGACGATGAAGAGGAGGCCGGGCCGCCGCCGCCCTACCATGACGCCCTGTACTTCCCGGTCCTCATCGTGCACCGGCAGGAGGGGTGTCTGGGCCACAGCCACCGGCCGCTGCACCGCCACGGCTCCTGTGTGGAGACCTCACTGTGACCAATGGCCCTCGACAGGCCCGCTATCCTCCCTCCTGTCCCTTGCAGGACTGTGCACCCTGCGTGTAGCAGGGGGAGTCACGATGGTGACCGAGGCTGTGCTGGGCACAGCGGGGGCTGGAGGGGAGGCAAGGGTGCAGGGGACAGACCCCGATGGGGCCGAGCCCCCCGCCTTCCCTGTATATAAAGAGACAGATGGGTGGGAAAAGGTCAGCAGTTCCTGGAGAAGCCCACTGGGGCAGTCGTCTCCTCCAGCCCCGTCCATGAGTTCCTAAGGGGACACCTCCCCTTCCAACACTGCACACTCGAGATTTCCTGTCCAGCCTTTCAACAGATCTTCTGACTGTTATGTGGCGACCCGCGTTAGGTCTTGTCTCAAGTGAGAGGCCCTTGCTGTGCAGCTGGGGAGGCTTAGAGACTGTGGGTAAGGGAAATTGGGGCTTTCCTTCCTTTTCTGCCTGTCCCTCCTGGGGCCTCTCTCTGCTGGGGGGGCAGGGCAGTGGCATGGTGAACTGCAGGGCTGGCTTCCAACCAGCTAATGAATTTAGTGGGTCTGAGGCCGGGGCCAGGTGTCAGTCCAAATACTTCATCTCAAAACCTAGGAAATGTTGCTGTCCTCTTGGCATGGGCCCCAAAGATCAGGGTTTCCTTTTTGCCGCTCCCTCCACTGTTGTTTATTTCACCGGGCCCCTGGAGTATGGTCCTGGAGGGACTGTGCTCACATACAGAGTCACTCTCCTTCCTCCCCTCCTGCTCCCTGTGGTTTTGAAGAGCTGTTGCCAGCGGGGAGGGGGCAAGGCAATGTACCTCAGCTCTTTCTCAGTCCTCCAGGCAGCAGCCTCCTAGCCTGGGTTATGGGAGGGCACTCCTTGTAGAGAGGGTGAGATCCCACCTAGGTGGCA